GGAAATATGGATAAGCGCGAGTTAATAGTATGAGGATGCCTTATACTCAGTACATTTAAGAAAAGTAAGCTATCAGGCCTCATCACATCATAGACGACACAAGATAAATCGGGTTCCTGTTAAATAGCTACGGAGAATTTTGAAACTTACTTGGAATATAGACATAGAAAAGACTATGCTTGATGAAAGCAGCCTGCGAAAGTTCGTAAATACTGGTGGCAGACTCACTTTGCGCGTAAGCAACTCTGTGTAATAACGATTGAATATGCCTTGGACTAATGACGAGGGATCTGATCCGCTTTGTGACTGAAAGGGGGGTGGAATGGAATAAAAAAATATATCAATTGCCGGTCACCTTGTACCGCGACAGCAGAAGAGCCTCGCGTTGAGCAATATTTTTCTCCTCAGTTCGGTAGTATGGAACGTAATAGTTGCGGATGGCCTCCAAATGTAACTGTTCGTGCATCTGAATCGAGTATTCCACTAAGGCCGGCGACAACTTACAGACGGCTGCGCAACCAATGGCCGAAGCTCGGATACACTCGATCTGTTCCAATTCGAGCACCGGCTTGAAGTAGGTCTCCATCTGGCGTGAATTCATTAGGCAGTCACGCAGCTCTTCAAAGTTTTGCGGCAACACCTCGGTAGCGGTGACCACGTGTCCAGTTGACTTCTTTCTCGCCTCATTATACTTGCGGGTGAAGCGGTTTATGAAATGGGTTGATAAAAATTATGGTTCAAGTAATTCGTAAGTCAGTAAAAGGTCCGGTTCTGTCCAAAGTCACATCATTTATTGTAATGGATAAGTTAAGTCTTGATACTGATGCAAGTATCCATGCCTAAGAACTAAATCAGCCAAGGTCACCGAAAGTGAATTATGGACGGATAGTTTGGTTTACCTACAATGAGCTGACTAGGCCTCACTATACCCATGAATTTTGCATAGTCTTGCTTCCCAAAAGGTAATCTGGACTGGGCTGCAGTTTTGGCCCTGTCTAAGTCTCAACAGCACTTCCAACTGGATTCGATACAAGGGCGTAAGTATAGTGATAAAGTTACCTCTTCACTACACGGTCGTAGGTACAAATGTGTCACATGGCAGATACAACATCCATTGTAAACCAGGTCTCTACCTAGAAATATCAATCTTTGAGAAAATCAACCATTAGCCTTAGCGACTAAGAGTTGTTAAGTTCTTACTCAAGAATTACAGATAGTCTCGAAAACTACTCACATCTAAAATGACTATACATTACTCATCGTCATGGACACAAGACATTTATATCCCATATTCAAAACAATGATAATATCGACAACTTATTGTCAAGGTTGTCCCAATGTTATGAAGAGTAGTTGTGTTTCGATGCTTCTCTTAAGAGCTGGGGAAACTTTCATTTCATATGAAAGTGAGTGAAGAAGAGATTCGTTGGTCGATCTCACCAGATGAGGAAGGATAAATCTCGTTATACTGCAATCGTTTGGCTTTTATACGATTTTCGTGTTGACGCAGTCCACGAGACATCCTCCTTCGTTTCGGGTGAAAACGTGATAAGCTTTCGTCCATCATATGATGGACATCATCACAGCTGGGTATCATTCTTGTAAGTCTCATGTTAACACTAGGGCAAGAACATCATCCGGCTCTATATTACTTCTTATATAGACTCAATTGAGATAATGAGATATGAAACTCTATTAAAATACGAAAATAAGTAACGTAGTCGATTGTTATAGCAAATATACGTTTGCTTCATCGATAATCCCACCAAAGAGTATGATATGGCACAAGGCCTGGCCTTCCTTGAAATGCCCATCTGATCTGTGACTCAAGGGCCTCGTGGCAATGTGGCCGAGTGGTTAACGTGTCAAGCTCCTATTCTGCACTGTCACCGTTCGACTCCCGCTCTGGGTGTTGATAAAACCGAAGCGAGATCGAAACTGCAGTCTACCCTGGATGAGAACAACTTTTGGGAAAGGAAGGCAAGACTAAATTCAATGGAAACGTCAGCTCTACTCATATCATTTTGGGAAAATTTTACTACCACCTTAAACGAAATAGGGTGAATACCTCTCATATTAATGAGACATGAGTTTGTGAGCATGAAAATCAAGTTACGAAACCACTTGTCCTAACGTTTCAGTCTAGGGTCATTAACGTTTAACCTTCCAAGGAAAGGCAAGATTGGGGTTGGGTAATCTCACAAGTCTGGTTTGGTTGATGAGCTTACTCTAACATTTTGGACGAATGTGAGTGAAGTTAGAACCATCACCGAGCAGACAAATTCAGTCGCCTTCTTTTTAACGGCGGCTCAACACCCTCTCTCTCTTTCAATCTATCAATCAAGCATAAGTAGTTCCTTCTCAACTTTCTACCACCGTTCCTCACATTCAACGTATATTCTAAACCAGTGGTTCCCAAATTTTCTTTTTTTAAATAAAATTTTTCATTTGCGCCCTACCCTAAGTATGACTATTCGTAAGAGATAAAAATATATAAAACTCGTGTATCTCCATTATTTTTTCAATTTTATTAAAATTAAATTAATATTTAATAATTAACGTGATGGATGAGCCTACAAATCACTGCACATTTTTTCAAATTTAATCTTTTACAATATTTTGCGGCGCCTTTGTAAAGAGGCCTCGGCTCTCCGGGGCGCCGCGGCGCACAGTTTGGGAATCACTGTTCTAAGCTATTAATTTCCATAGCCTCTCTTATCTTTATTTTACCACAGATGTACCATAATCAGCAAACCTACTAGTTTGAGACCATTCTATTTCATGTCCAGTTTCTACCATATGTTCGGCCACTTCTGACCATTGGATCCAATCTTTGTCGAATAGGTCGGCATGTCTAACCAGTATAACTTCAATCACATGAGCAAACAATATTGTAGCAGCCGGATCTCGATAATAGGTCATATTTTTCTCTAAAAGATGGCATAACAGAAGAAAGTGTGAGAGTTTTTTTGAACACTGTTTTTATGCCCCACTTCTTTACTAATTCGCCTATCTTTTTTCAGGGAAGACATGACGGCAAAATTAGGACATGGGAAAAGGTCTCATTTTGTCTCTTTCTGACTAAATGGTGTCCGTCTGAAAAAATATTCCTCAGTAGAGAAATATTATTGTCAATAAGGCCCAATAATAATTATTGTCCAGGAATATATTTGTCAACCGTTGCAACTCTTTAGTCAAATAGAAGTTCTTTGACCTTGTTTTCGCAACTCGGTCATATTGGTTTGAAGACTTAGAGGAACGAACCTTGCCCGGAGTCCATTGTATGCATCATCATTTCCAGAGTAGGACCGTGGACGTGGTACATTCCCAGACGTTT